CGCGTTCGTGTGTGTTGGAGGAGGGGCTCTGTAAGGAAGTGGCAGATTTTTCCCGGCTGTGTATTTTCAAATTTTAGCGATCTCGAGCCGGTTTCTCCAAAATTACCTACCCCACCTTTAATGGTAAAAGCTTAAACAGTTGATTACCTGCATGCCACAAAGACTGATGTTCTAATATTTTGCACATTTAAGTAAAAATGTAATTGAAATTCAATTTATTTTTCCTTTTTTTTATTGATTGTTATAATTGTACTCAGCCATGTTATGTTAGATGTCAATCCACTTACACTGTAACTACTCTGGCCTTGAAAGAAGGTTACACATCTAACTGATGTCCACTAATCCCTATAAAACAAAGTTCAAGCATACATTAAGCCCAAAACAATAAATAAGGGCACTTTGATATTTATTTTTTATTTGATATTATTTTATCCTATCTTATCTTCTACTTTACACCTGCATGTTGTACACTGTCCCTGCCTGCACCATGTCCAATGTTGTCTCTGTTGACAACCTACTAGGCGATTAAACTGATCTTGTATCTTGCTTATTTCACCTTAGGAAAGCGGGCACGGGATGACAGCTTCCTTGACACCATCATGGCGATGGACCGCCGTGCCATGGTCAGCAAGGAGAATGAGGACCTGCGTGCCAAGGAGATGCACGACGAACGGCTGCTGCATTCACACAAGGCCCAGGAATCGGACGACCAGCTGCTCATGGTGATGCAGCGCCATGCTGACTCGGGGGCGCGCCAGGTGGAGGTGTCGGCGCGCCAGGTGGAGGTGTCGGCGCGCCAGGTGGAGGTGTCAGCGCGCCAGGTGGAGGTGTCAGCGCGCCAGGTGGAGGTGTCAGCGCGCCAGGTGGAGGTGTCGGCGCGCCAGGTGGAGCAACAAAATACCTTTCAGGCTGGGCTTCTGGCAGTGCTAAGCGAGCTGATTAAATCCAACAGGCCTTCAATACAAAAATTAAAAAAATTGTCGTCGTTGATAAACTGTACAATGACTTGTTGGGAGGCGTGTGGTGCAGTGGTCTGGTGCGTTGGTGTTCGGATCAGGGGAGCACAGGTTCAAACCCCACTGCAGTCAGGATGTCGTTGTGTCCCTGGGCAAGACACTTCACCCCAAATTGCCTACACCTGGGACAGTTAATTTTGTATTATTGTGATTATATATATATGCCACTGTTATTAATACTGACACTTCACTTTGCACTAAGGTGTGTCTGCTGCTGAGCCTACCTATTGTTATTATATATATATGTTTTGATACGACTGACACTTTATTTGATATTGAAAATGTTAACTTCTATTTACATGCATACGACACACCTGGGACAGCGTGATGCTGTTATTGATATTGTCTTGAGTGTGCAATAAAAGAGAACCTACATGGCGATTAAACAGATCCTGTATCTTGCTTATTTCTCCTCTGACACTTTATCTTTACAGTGACCTGTGTAGCATCCTATACATCACATGTAAGTGATTATTCTGATACCATCATGTTTCATCGGTTATAAACTGGCAAAGCTTTATTTAATGTGGCTTTCAAAAAGATAATTTCATTGTATTTCAAAATGGCGTCCATATATAATTTCATTGTATTTCAAAATGGCGTCCATCTATTTATAGAAAGAGAAATGGTTAAGTTTGTTATTACCAGTGTTGTGAGTTTAATATTTTTAATTAATTATAGTAAGGGAACATCTTAGGAGTTAGTGTAGTGAGTTTCAGAGCAGTGTAATCATTATTTGACCTAAAACTAAATGTTTTTATGAACATGGGGATTTGCTAACTTTTGATTTCCCCCATTTTACACGACACAAAATGGAGGCCACTATGGGCCACAACTAACACGTAGGTTTCTGTAGGGTTCATGGCAGACGGATGCAGTTGCTCTCAGGAGGATATATAATAAAGGTGTGTTAGCAGCTGAGCCTATTTAGTGTGCATACGACACACCTGGCACAGGTTATTCATTTCACACGTAGCGTAGCGCGTGCATGTCGTCGTCCAATCCTTTTGCCAATCCTTCTTAACCGCCTTCGCCTCCGAATCAGCATTGCTATTGCATTTGACTGGTCGACGATCTGTATTTGTGTTTGCTTAAATAACTCAGACGAAGCTCATGTCTGAGGTCGGAAGGTAAACAGACGCCTCATTTACAGCAAGTGGGTGCGGGAGGTTTTTCTTCTTCTTCTTCTCTCAGTTTTTGGCGGATTGCAACTTTAAGGTGCATACCGCCACCTACTGTACTCGCCGTGAAGTTGTTTGCGGCCTGCCAGTAAACCCAAAAGCAGAAGAAGAAGAAGTGACGTCAGCGGCTTCATTTGCGTAATCCACGCCCAGGAACTCATTTTGGTGTGAACGCGATCTGCTTTAGTTCATCAGAACTAAAAGAGCTCTCAGGAACTAAAGTTCTCATGAACTATTGTGGGAAAAGTACTTGGTGTGAACGCGCCTCTTGATCTCTTTTTCAAGGGAGACCTGCAGCATATAGGTTCCACATGAAACATGAAACAATAAAGGACATCATACATTATATTTACAGGATACATTTACATAGTTATAGACATTTACAAGTACCCATAGTATCAACGAGCATTTCATTTAGCCTAGCTTTACAAACATGCAGAGGAATGAGATTGCTCAGTTTCAATTCTTGCTGAAGATTGTTCCAAACAAGTGGAGCTGCACATAAAAGCTGTCTCACCTAAGACAGTCCTTGCTCTTGGCTCATCTAACAAGACTACATCATGTGATCTAAGACAATAGCTGCTTGCAACTCTCTGTGTTATCAGAGAGCAGATAGAATACGGGAGTTTACCCAACAAAGCTTTGATAATGTTGTAAGAGATGATTTAAGATGTACTGACCCAGGTGGCGTCCACCGCTGAGTATACGACGCCCAAGTCGGCTGCTGCCGCGCCCTGTGACACAAACACAACCCACAGGGAACACACACACACATCAGGAACACACACATAAGGAGGTGTGTGTTTCTGGTGTGTGTGTTACAGCTCCTCAGGCTGTAACACACACACACATTAGGTGAGGGACCCACCAGGTGCAGCAGCGACAGGTGACCCCTCAGCACGTTGTCATAGTTCAACTCGGGGTTCCTCCATTGGACGGAGTGGTTCTCGTACATCAGGAACATGCACTCCGTCTGGTTGTCCACCTCGCCAGCTGGAAACATCTGGTGAGACGTCTCGTTAAAACAGAAGGAGAACTTCCCCGCAAACAGGTTCACGCCCAACATGCTGAAAACCTGCAGAACCAGCAGAACCACCAGCAGAACCAGCAGCAGGGCCGGCCCCCCCCCCCAGCAGAGAGAGAACCACCACCTGCAGACAGACAGGGAGAGACAGACAGGTGGAGAGAGAGACAGTTCAACATCTGCTGACAGACAGGTGGAGACAGACAGGTACAGACAGACAGGTACAGACAGACAGGTAGAGACAGACAGATGCAGACAGACAGGTGGAGACAGACAGGTGCAGACAGACAGGTGGAGACAGACAGGTACAAACAGACAGGTACATACAGACAGGTACAGACAGACAGGTGGAGACAGACAGGTGAGGACAGACAGGTGGAGACAGACAGGTGCAGACAGACAGGTGGAGACAGACAGGTACAAACAGACAGGTACATACAGACAGGTACAGACAGACAGGTGGAGACAGACAGGTGAGCACAGACAGGTGGAGACAGACAGGGAGAGACAGACAGGTACAGACAGACAGGTACAGACAGACAGATGCAGACAGACAGGTGGAGACAGACAGGGAGAGACAGACAGGTACAGACAGACAGGTGGAGACAGACAGGTGCAGACAGGACAGACAGGGAGAGACAGACAGGACAGACAGGTACAGGCAAACAAGGAAAGACAGACAGGAGAGACAGGGAGAGACAGACAGGTGAAGACAGACAGGTGGAGACAGACAGGGAGAGACAGACAGGTGGAGACAGACAGGTGGAGACAGACAGGGAGAGACAGACAGGACAGACAGACAGAGACAGACAGGACAGACAGACAGAGACATAGAGGTGGAGACAGACAGGGAGAGACAAACAGGACAGACAGGTAGAGACAGACAGGTACAGACAGAGACAGACAGGTACAGACAGACAGGGAGAGACAAACAGGGAGAGACAGACAGGTAGAGACAGACAGGTACAGACAGACAGGTGGAGACAGACAGGTACAGACAGACAGGGGGAGGTTGAATTAAGTCATGTCTCACCCTCAGGCCCTGGAAGTGAGACAGGATCCTCAGGGGCCCCAGAGCTCGGAGGCTCCTCAGAAACAGGAAGAACCCGACAGAACCGATCCCAAAGATCTCAACCCCGAGAGACACCAGGAACAGCTGCAACGCCAAATGAGTACTTCCTGTTATTAATATACAACAATAACAACTTCCTGTCATCATTAGATATATATATGTTCATAGAGTCTCACGTGGAGGACCAGGAAGTCGAGGCAGCACCAGCCATCTCTGAAGTACTTGCTCAGTCCGAAGGCGCTCCACTTGAGGAGCATCTCGCTGAGGAAGAGGAGGGTGAACAGTTGATCGGCTCGATGAAGAACCTCCTTCAACAGCGGCCACTGATGAAGGTGCACGTCCTCGAACGCCTGTCACGTGACCAGGGACACAATGCATCACATGACCAGGGACACGATGCATCACATGACCAGGGACACGACGCATCACATGACCAGGGACACGTCACATGACCAGGGACACAATGCATCACATGACCAGGGACACGACGCATCACATGACCAGGGACACGACGCATCACATGACCAGGGACACGTCACATTACCAGGGACACAATGCATCACATGACCAGGGACACGACGCATCACATGACCAGGGACACGACGCATCACATGACCAGGGACACGATGCATCACATGACAAGGGACACGTCACATGACCAGGGACACAATGCATCACATGACCAGGGACACGACGCATCACATGACCAGGGACACGACGCATCACATGACCAGGGACACGTCACATGACCAGGGACACAATGCATCACATGACCAGGGACACGATGCATCACATGACCAGAGACACGATGCATCACATGACCAGAGACACGATGCATCACATGACCAGGGACACAATGCATCACATGACAAGGGACACGTCACATGACCAGGGACACAATGCACACTGAACCACCACAAAGACACAATACTGTATATAAACATCAGAATCCCTACCAGAGCCACGCTGCTCAGCACGATGATGAAGATGATGAAGATCTCAAAGAGCTTGTGTTGGACGATGCAGAGGCAGAACCTCCTGAAGTTAGTCCAGACCCGCCCTGCTCCACGGGACGAGTCCACGACCTGGAGGGGACAGCACTCTGAAACACAAACAAAGACACTGATGCTGCTCTCCGATACTGGTCTCTGATTGGCTGTGTTGCTGGTCTCTGATTGGCTGTGTTGCTGGTCTCTGATTGGCTGTGTTGCTGGTCTCTGATTGGCTGTGTTGCTGGTCTCTGATTGGCTGTGTTGCGATGCTGGTCTCTGATTGGCTGTGTTACTGGTCTCTGATTGGCTGTGTTACTGGTCTCTGATTGGCTGTGTTACTGGTCTCTGATTGGCTGTGTTACTGGTCTCTGATTGGCTGTGTTGCTGGTATTTGATTGGCTGTGTTACTGGTATTTGATTGGCTGTGTTGCTGGTCTCTGAATGGCTGCGTTACTGGTATTTGATTGGCTGTGTTGCTGCTCTCTGATTGGCTGTGTTAATGATCTATGATTGCCTGTGTTGCTGCTCTCTGATTGGCTCTTACTCTGGCTGCAGCAGTCCTCAGGGTCTCCGTGCTGATGGCCTTCAGGAGTTTTCTGCACAGAAGCATTCACAGTTTAGTACACATACTCAGAGTACTACACATACTCAGAGTACTACACATACTCAGAGTACTACACATACTCAGAGTACTACACATACTCAGACATAGTACTACACATACTCAGAGTACTACACATACTCAGAGTACTACACATACTCAGAGTACTACACATACTCAGAGTACTACACATACTCAGACATAGTACTACACATACTCAGAGTACTACACATACTCAGAGTACTACACATACTCAGAGTACTACACATACTCAGACATAGTACTACACATACTCAGAGTACTACACATACTCAGAAATACTGCAGTATAATAAGAGCGTTTACTGCTTTCTGTTCAGGCGTCTCCTCGGGCACCTCGTGGTCTCCGTTGGTTCTGATGTCTAGAGCCAGGTGTTCCTTCCTGTCCACTTCCTGTCCGTCTCTCTCTGTCGTCAGACACAGGAAACAGTCATCAGATTAAAGAGATTCACCCCGAACCCTCTCTGACACCAGGAGTCACAATGGAGACGAATTTAGATAAAGCTCTAGATCAGGGGTGGGCAAATGTTTTGGCTCGGGGGCCACAATGAGTTTTAAAATTTGACAGACGGGCCGGGCCAGTAGCAGAAAAGTGGCGGCTGATATTGTATTCTTTGAAAACTGCAACGGTTTCTTGGCAAATAAGACATACAGCCTTATATCGCACTTCGGTGATAAAATATTTAGCTGTCCACTCCTCATTAACATTGTCAACTTTTCTTTTCTTTGGTCCACTCATTGTTACAGATGCAGGTGGTAGTGGAGTACAGAGCTTCGTGACCACAGAGCGGGTGAACGTTGTGATCAGCTGTTTTAGTGCAGTGCTGCTGTACAGACCGACGTTAACAGCAGCCCTGTCTGTGCACACGGAGACCGACTCTGTCGTCCGGTGATCTAACCGCCTTCTGGAAAAGCTTCACAAGTACGTCGGTACGCAAATGCGCTTTGTGACACAAGTGACGGTACGCATTTCAGATTGTTGCCGCGCATGCGTACCTGCGTACCAGTTATGTGCACCCCTGGTCGGGTCGTTTTTAATCATACGAAGCCAGATTAAATGAAAGAACTACTTCTCCAACCTTATACCTTTCTCCAGTGCCGTGGTGCATTGTTTATTAATGTGGTTCTGCGGCATTACCGCCCGCTGCAGCGCTGCTCTTCCACAGGAGTTTAGTCTACTGTTAACTCACGGCAGCGGCCGCGGGAAAGTCTTCACTGTCCGACTGTCACACAAGCAGCTGATAAATATCCCCCATCCCCATCAGTGAATGTGTTTCAGTCTGAATTGACGCTGACAACGCTGACAACACAACGCTGTTATGAAAGTGTCTCTGGCATTCTACAGGTGATGTTAGCATAGCAACCGAAGCTAATCAGACTATCTTGACTACTTGTTGCTATCATATTGTGGCACAAGCCGTTTTCTAGACACTTATTTTACCAGCGTAGTTTTCGTCATGATTTTACTTGTGATGGCCACATGTAGCCCATTTATAGATTCCATCCGATAGCTACAATAATACAAAACAACAGGAAAACGTCTGCCTCTTCACAATGGTCAATAACAGTGAATGGATGGTCATTAAAGTAAGGTCAAATAAACAGAATCACACTAAGCCTGGTTAGTGTTGCCTGACTTTATATAAGTGTTTTTTATAAGTGTGTGGTCGCGTTTTAGTCACTTTGCTCAGCGCTACTCAGTTACAACTTGTATTCGCTGTACTCGCCATGAACTGTTATTGCTCAGGTTAATCTCGACCCCCTCCAATGTAAGCGTGACGTATTTGGTTCTTAGATCTTGCCGGGTTGCCGACTCCAGCAAAGGTCAATTGTGTCTAGAGTGCGCCATCTAGTGGGATCAACTGAAATGCCGGGTATTGCAGGAAAAAGGCAAAATTAATGCGGTCTTTACTATAATTTGGACAATTTTGTACCAATATTCGGCGGGCCGGATTAAAAAGCCCAATGGGCCATATATGGCCCGCGGGCCTTAGTTTGCCCATGCCTGCTCTAGATCCTGGTCTCACCTGTGAGTTCTGGTTTAGCGCCGGTCTTCCTCCCCAGCAGACTCCCAGCAGCTCTGTAGATCCGCCTCAAAGCCATCTGGACGTTGTTATTGACCTTCTCTTCTGGATATGCCGGACTGAGACCACGGAGCGGACTCAGCAACAAGACCAGGAACAGGTTCAGGGCCTGGAACCACAAAGAAAGTAATGACTAGACACAAGAACAGACTCCAGACCAGCAACAAGACCAGGTTACAATTACCAACTTTAAACTAGACCAGAGGTGGAGTGCACCAGCTGGGCGTAAAAAAGTAGTTCTTAACTCTAACGTCGGGCTTAGGTACGTCCGACTTAGTGATTCGAATTTACACCGAGTGCACCAAGCCTGACTAGTCACGGTCGTAGCTGCGCCTCGTCTTAAGATGCGCGTCCACGTCAATACATGCCAAACAGTAATTGTTGCTAAGCAACACACGTCTACATAATTTAACACTCAAACTTCTCCATTCAAAGCAGCCCGTTAGCGTAACATCTGAGCGCAATCAGCACCTGCCCAAAACCGGAAGCTGTCATACACTCTCGTAGCTCTCATAGCAGCTATATATGAAAACCCATAAATATGACAATGGATTATCAGTAATCATTTCAAAGTTAGGGTTAGGGTTAGGGTTAACCCTCCTAACCCTAACCCAGACACATTGGATTAACCTATGGATTAACCTTCAGCAGCGTTTTATGCGTTTTAATGCCATTGAACACAACTTTTGATCAGAGAAACAGCAACGGTAAGACTATTTCAGAAATAATCGTTGATGTGGTTTAGAACAGGATGGCGTTTTATCACAGCAGAATTTAACTTTATCTCCGGTAGAATTCTGATCAGGCATTAGCTCCGCCTCCTCTTATTTATTTATTTCAAGCTAAGGACCCAAGATCCGCGTTTCTCTAACAGGGCTTCAAAAGAGGGGTTTGAGCAGTATGAGGGATGGCTACAATGGGTGAACTGTTTGGTATTTTGAAAAAAACCTTCAAAGACATGTTTTGTACAGGTATGGTCCTACAATATATTTTTCAAATATAGCATGATAGGTCCACTTTAAGCTAGTTAGTAGCAAAATGCCTCCGTTCTCTACAGATGACTTCCACAAACTTCTACAGTAGATGGCCTTGTTGGAAATGAAAATGCAACGGTTGGAAGTTAACATGGAAGTGAATGGACTATGTTGGAATGACTCCACTTTACCAGTGTTGCAAAACAATGGAAAAGGGTATGCTAACTCACAGCTAGTTAGCAGCTACAATGATTCCAAGGAACAGGAGGGCTGTGTACCGGGTAATAAATCTACAAGTGGTAGTCCTCCCTCGAACTCTCTGGGTGCAAAACCAAAGAGTAATCATTTCCATGGGATTTGGGAGGACGAATAACAGGCAGAGCCCAGCGCTCTGAAATCTGTGATGCGACCGGCTGGCCTGCATTGTTATCACCCAGGAAGAGCGCCTCTTCAACCCCTATTCATACTAGGAAACAGTCGTGGACAGCTGCTAAAGGGAGAACTACAAACAATCCTCCTAAACCACCAACTGTGCCAATCCAGAACAGATACGATCCACTGACCCAGAACCGGAGATCTCATTCTGATGAGCTGGATAACCTGTCCTCTTCACACAGCAGGGTAAGGACCAATAGCTACTCCAAAAGTAAAAGGCTAGAGGGAAAGCTAACGACTGGGCCTGAAACTCTGATTGTGGGTGACTCTGCTGTAAGAGATGTAAAAGGTCTGTGTAGTAAGAACAACACCAAAGTACTCTGTTTTCCCAAGAATATGGTCTCTGACTTGGCTGAGAAGATCCTGCATATTGGGGCTGAACATCCGACTGTGAAGAATGTGGTACTGCATATTGGAACAAATGATGTTGAGAAACAACAGTCAGAAGTACTGAAAGAAGACTTTAAATGTCTGTTGGAAACTGTCAGCTCTCTAAATGCGGAGGTGTTCATCAGTGGCCCTCTACCGCCCGTCAGAAGAGGAGTGGAGAGATTCAGCAGATTGTTTGCACTGAACACTTTCAACTGCCTGCACTGACCATTCTGTCAATTTTATTGACAATTTTAACATTTTCTGGGACCGCAGACATCTTTTTAAGGCAGATGGAGTTTGCCTGAACAAGTCAGGAATGAAATTGTTTATTTCTAACATATTCAACTGCCTGCATCATCAATCTGTTCCCATCAAAACAAGAGAAAGACACAACACATCGCTCAGAAAACCTTGAAGAAATATCACTGCACCCGCCTGAGGAATGTCTTGATTATGGGAGACAAATGTAGGAGTCTCCACCGCCCTTCCTCCCCCTACCAACACCTTTGAGGATACTCTTCCTTCACCCCCCAGCTCTCTCTACTCTCCGTTCACCCTTTCACCCTCGCCCACCTTAGGGTTGGCACCAAGTCCTTCCTGGAATTTAATGACCGCATGAAGGAGATACGCAGGGCTGGCAGCATGTCCTTTACCCCCACCCCTCCACGATGCCCACCACAATCACAGAAGCTGCGAAGCGCACCATCTCCCCCGTCTTCATCACCGTGCCTACGTCAACCCCCCCCCCCCCCCCCCCTTCAAGACAGCATCTGCGGTCTCCGAAGCCTGATAAGGATGTGTGTGTACAAAACGCAGCAAACTCTAACTGATATGTGCTGGGTCCAGGCTCAAGGGCGGATGGCACTCTCAACTCTTTCCAGGACATGCCGGGGCCCTGCCTGCCAGTAGCTTTGCCGATATCTGTGTTGATAGGTAATAGATTAAGAGCGGTGAATCAGCTCAGAAACAGGAAGCGCTCAAAAGTTTGTGTGAGTTTATCAAATTTAGCAGTAATTCCATGTCAGCCACAGCTTGTCACACAACATCTGACTGATAGTGTATTTAAGGAACTTAAACTAGCTTTATTAAATGTCAGGTCTTTGGCAGGAAAAACATTTTTAATCAATGATTTTATCACTGAGCACAATCTGGATTTTATGTTTTTAACGGAAACTTGGATTGAACAAAATAACAGTGCAGCTGTTCTTATCGAATCAACCACTCCCAACTTTAGTTTTATGAGTCAGGAAAGAATGCTTAAGAAGGGAGGTGGAGTTGCTATTTTGTTCAATGATTCCATTCAATGCAGGAAGACATCTTATGGGGACTTTGCTTCTTTTGAACATGTGGCCCTTCAGCTGAAATGCTCCTCTCGAGCTCTGTTCCTAAATATCTATAGACCACCCAAATACTGTGCAAGCTTTTTTGATGACTTTACTGAACTGCTGTCTATAGTGTGTATTGACTTTGACCGTTTAGTCATTGTTGGTGATTTTAACATCCATGTTGACAACCCCCAGGACAGAGGGGCTAAAGAACTGTTTTGTGTTCTTGATAACTATGGACTGACTCAGCATGTGGCGGAGCCCACGCACAATAAGGGGCACACTCTGGACTTAATTATCTCAAAGGGTCTGAATATCTCTGAGGTTGTGGTGACTGATGTTGCACTCTCTGATCATTCCTGTGTTTTCTTTGAGAGCTCTATTTCTGTTCACAAAAATGTTCAGAAAGAGGTAACCACAAAGCGATATTTAACTGAAAACACTAGGGAAATGTTTACTCAGAATTTTTCTTCCACACTTGCCCCTGCTAACATCTCAGTAAATGAGCTAGTAGATCATTTTAATTCAAAAATTAAAAATGTTATAGATACCATTGCTCCAACTACAGTAAAGGAAGTGATTGGCAAGAAAATATCTCCATGGAGAAAGGCCATGACCGTGAGAACAGAAAAAAGAGAGTGTCGAAAAGCTGAACGTAGGTGGCGAAAAACAAATCTCCAGGTTCACTTTGAAATCTATAAAGAGAGACTTGGCCTTTATCATTTGGAATTGAAAATGGCACGACAGTCTTTCTTCTCTGACATCATTACCAAAAACAAAAACAACGCACGTGCCTTGTTTGCTACCGTCGACAGACTAACTAACCCCCCAGTGTCAGTAGCCTCTGAACTTCTATCCACCAGGGCGTGCAATGGCTTTTCCTCCTTCACTGAAAACATTCAGAACATCAGACAAGCAGTCAGTGCCTCTGCATCAGGTACAGCAGGTGTGTTGTCCCTGTGTCCACCTAATATCAATTCAATCAGATTAATGATAAAAACTTAGAGGACATTATTCAACTTCTGAAATCCTCCTCCTGCTGCCTTGATATTATTCCAACAGGATTTTTCAAAGATGTTTTTCATTGCATGGCCTCAGATCTACTTCACATAGTAAACACATCTCTTCACTCAGGTGTTTTTCCACAGGCCCTGAAAACTGCAGTCATTAAACCGCTCTTAAAAAAGAATAATCTAGATGCTTCAGTAATGAACAATTACAGGCCCATATCAAACCTGCATTTAAATAACTGTTTGGATGTGTTCCAGTCAGGATTTCGTCCAAACCACAGCACTGAGACTGCTCTTGTAAAGGTCTTCAATGACATCCACTTAAACACAGACAGTGGCAGAACTTCAGTGTTAGTATTATTAGATCTCAGTGCTGCGTTTGACACTGTTGACCACAACATATTACTAGACCGACTGGTGAATATGCAGATGACACACACAATTACGTAACCATTTCACCAGGAGACTATGCTCCAATTCAAACACTGAGTAAGTGCATTGAACAAATCAATGACTGGATGTGTCAGAACTATCTCCAATTAAACAAAGATAAAACTGAGGTAATGGTTTTTGGAGCCAAGGCAGAACGTATAAAAGTTAGCGCTGAGCTTCAGTCTGCAATGTTCAAAACAACAGATACAGCCAGAAATCTAGGTGTAGTCATGGACTCTGACCTGAGTTTCAACAGTCACATTAAAACAGTTACTAAATCAGCCTACTATCACCTAAAGAACATATCTAGGATTAAAAGAATAATGTCACAGCAGGATCTGGACAAACTTGTCCATGCTTTTATCTTCAGTAGACTGGACTACTGTAATGGTGTCTTCACAGGTCTCACTAAAACATATATTAGAAAGCTGCAGCTAATTCAGAACGCCGCTGCTCGAGTCCTCACTGACACTAAGAAAGTGGATCAGTCCTGTTCTGTTCTGAAGTCTATACACTGGTTCCTCACTAACACTAAGAAAGTGGATCACTCCTGTTCTGAAGTCTTTACGCTGGCTTCCTGTGTGTCAAATAATTAATTTCAAAAATATTGTTGCTGGTTTATAAAGCTTTGAATGGTTTAGGCCCAAAATACATGTCTGACCTACTGCTGAATTATGAACCATCCAGAACTCTCAGGTCTTCAGGGACTGGTCAGCTTTCTGTCCCCAGAGTCAGAACTAAACATGGTAAAGCAGCATTCAGTTATTATGCTCCGAATATCTGGAACAAACTCCCAGAAACCTGCAGGTCCGCTGCAACTCTGACTACTTTTAAATCCAGGCTGAAGACTTTTCTTTTTGCCGCTGCTTTTAATTGAACTATTCACATCTTAAACTGCACTGTAACTTTTATTCATGTATTTTTTTCTTTTAATGTTTATTTTATTATCTTTACTTTTTAATGACTGTTTTGAAATGCCATTTTCTGAGCACTTTGAATTGCTTTTTGTTGAAAGGTGCTATATAACTAAACTTGCCTTGCCTTGCCTTGCTAAGTGTGTTAGCATGTTTTCGCTCAGGGCTCATTTAGACGCTTCTTGTAAAAATGGTTCATATCGTCAGCTGCTGAGTTTCTTCCCGCTAAGTGGGTATGACACATTAATAGGTTGTTAAATGTTAAGAAACCCTGAGACACAGTTTCGTGAAGAAAAAAACAAACAGGTTAACTCCAGTCGACTTGCTGCTTTCCTACGTGGTGAAACGATCAGTGGTGTACTGCTGCCGGAGCATACCAGACCGCCGCGCCGGCACTTCATAAATTGCAGTACCCATAAGGAGCTGCACACATGCCGCAGTTTTTGCGTGGCTGTGTCTTTAGTTGAAAGCCCTGTGGCAATCTGCTCATCTGAAAATAAATGCTACACAGGGGCGGACTGGCCATCTGTGTGTTCTGGAGAATCACAGAACGGCCGGTCGTCAGCCCTCCTGTTGACAGTTCACGAGCGTCGAGCCCTGTGTTTCAGTTGAAGAGGGCAGTTGAAGGGGTAACCGGTGATATAAGGAATCTACCTTTGAATATGTGATCTTGTGTGATCTTGTGTGTTCTCATGTGATCCCGTGTGAGCTGCAGGAACTCACCAGCAGGTTTCCTGAGACGAGGAGCATCATGAAGAAGAGGAGACAGGATGTCTTTCCGGAGACCTCCATGCAGTCCCACAGCGCCTCGACCCAGTCCCCGAACAGAACCCTGAGGACCACCAGGAGGGAGTGGAAGAAGTCTGTCATGTGGAAACGAGGAAGCTCGCAGTCCTCTGCGATGCGACAGACTTGGTCTTTGTAGTCCTTTCCAAAAAGCTGCATGCCAGCAACGGAGAAGATGAAGAGCGTGATGAAGAGGAGGAGCGTCAGGTTCCTCAGAGAACTCAGAGCCGTCCAGATGATCTTCATCAACATGTGGAGCATCGGCCACCACCTGGCCAGCCGGAGGAACCGCATCTAGAGACAACTTCTGTTATTATTCATATTATTATTATTATGATTACCATCATCACCATCTGGAGAAAAGTTATGTTATTATTAAATCTGCCATTTCCATCATCACCACCATCATCCCCATCACCACCATCATCACCATCATCCCCATCATCACCATCATCACCACCATCATCCCTCATCACCACCATCATCACCATCATCACCACCATCATCCCCATCATCCCTATCATCACCATCATCCCCATCATCACACCACCATCATCCACATCACCACCATCACCCATCCCATCTCAACCACCATCATCCCCATCATCCTATCATCACCATCATCCCATCATCCCTATCATCACCACCATCATCCCTCATCCATCTCACCATCATCACCACCATCATCCACCATCATCCCATTCATCACCATCATCACCATCATCCACCACCATCATCCTATCATCACCCATCGATCCCATCTCCCTATCATAACCATCATCCCCACATCACCAACCATCATCCACATCACTCACCTATCATCACCATCATCCCCATCATCAACCACCATTCAGCCCCAGCAGCCCAGAGCAGCCAGCAGCCCACAGCATCCCCAGCAGCACCACCAGCAGCCCAGCACCACCAGCAGCCCCAGCAGCACCACCAGCAGCCCCAGCAGCCCACCAGCAGCAGCAGCAGCCCCACCAGCAGCACCAGCAGCCCCAGCAGCCCCAGCAGCCCCAGCAGCACCAGCAGCAGCAGCAGCAGCCCCAGCAGCACCCACCAGCAGCCCCAGCAGCACCACCACCAGCCCCAGCACCACCAGCAGCCCCAGCAGCCCCAGCAGCAGCCCCAGCAGCCCCAGCAGCACCACCAGCACCCCAGCAGCACCCGCAGCACACCACCAGCCCCAGCAGCCCCAGCAGCCCCAGCACCACCAGAGCCCCAGCAGCCCCAGCAGCACCACCAGCAGCCCCAGAGCCCCAGCAGCACCACCAGCAGCCCCAGCAGCCCCAGCAGCACCACCAGAAGCCCCAGCAGAACCAGCAGCACCACCACCAGCAGCACACCACAGCAGCCCCGCACCACCAGCAGCACCAGCAGCCCAGCAGCACCACAGCCAGCACCACCAGCGCCCCAGCAGCCCAGCAGCCCAGCACCACCAGCAGCCCCAGCAGCCCCAGCACCACCACCAGCACCACCAGCCCAGCAGCCCAGCAGCCCCAGCACCACCAGCAGCCCAGCAGCCCCAGCAGCCCCAGCAGCACAACCAGCAGCCCAGCACCCAGCAGCACCACCAGCAGCCACAGCAGCACCACCAGCAGCCCCAGTCAGCACCACCAGCAGCCCCAGCAGACAGCATCAGCAGCACCAGCAGCACCAGCAGCCCCAGCAGCCCCAGTCAGCACCAGCAGCACCACCATCATGCCCAGCCCCAGCACACCAGCATCCCCAGCATCCCCAGCAGACCATCAGCAGCAGCAGCAGCACAGCAGGCACCAGCAGCCCCAGCAGGACAGCAGCAGCGCCCAGCAGCCCCAGCATACCCGCAGCATCAGCAGCAGCACATCAGCTCATCCCCATCATACATCATCATCATCATCACCATCATCACCATCATCCCCATCATTACCATCATCATCCCCATCATCCCCATCATCACCACCATCATCCCCATCATCCCCATCATCACCATCATCATCCCCATCATCCCCATCATCCCCATCATCATCATCACCATCATCACCATCATCCCCATCATCCCCATCATCACCATCATCACCACCATCATGCCCATCATCACCATCATCACCATCATCCCCATCATCCCCATCATCATCATCATCACCATCATCACCATCATCACCATCATCCCCATCATCACCACCATCATGCCCATCATCACCATCATCACCCATCATCCCCATCATCACCACCATCCAGTGTGAGAAAAAGTTTTTAGAGAGTACTTGTCCATGGACAAGTGAGTTTGGCAATTTACTTGTCCGAATACATTTTTCACTTGTCCAGAATGGACAAAAATTGGGGCCACTGGAATCTTCTTCTTCGCCAACATATTTTACATTTTCCCACGTTTTTTACGACACCGCTAACGTAAGTGAGCGGTAAGATTTTACTGCATCACACATAGGGTTGGGTATAGTTTGGATTTTAACGATTCCGGTTCTGCTTTTCGATTGCGGTTATTTTCGGTTCTTGATTCCGGTTCTTTGAGAGGGTAAAAATAAGTCCCATGACAAACTGGGAGAAAAACATATTTATGAAAACATTAAGTCAAACCTGTATTCCTATTTACAAATCACTTCATACTGTTTAATTTATTACGGTTATTGAATACAATTATATAAAAATAATCTCTGCATTGTTTAGTTAGTTCTATGTGGTGCAGTTTGAGAATGTACAATTGGCCCAGTCTCCTCTGATGTTACACTGCAACCTGCCTGTGAGACAGTTTCCAACCACACATGTCCAACACATAGGCCTAATAATAATAATACATTATATTTATAGCCTATAGGCCTAGCGCTTTTCTACAACTCAAAGACACTTGCATGCTTACACATGTCCTGCAATACACATGCTGCAGCTGCCCAGCTATGGAGGACTGAACATGACTTAAGTATAAATAAATAAATAAATAAATTTGTAAATAAATGTATGAAGAAATACAGGAATAAATAAATGACGAAATAAATACAGAAATAAAAGAATAAATAAATGCATAAATAAATATGGAAATAAATACACCAATGTATAAATAAATAAAACAGAACACACGTTATTATATATCTTTCATATATTTCTACATTTACTCGACATACATTTATTTATGTGTCCATATGCTAATGAGGTGGGCGGTCCTAACCTCAGTCTGAAGCAGGATTGGTTACAGGAGTGTGTGATCATTTCTGGCAGAGGGCTATACTAACGCCTGGCTAACCGCGCTGATTCGAATGCAGGAGCTTTACTGTTTAGCCCTTATCTTTATACATCCATGGTTTATCCACAGTTGTAAGGATTATTTATGGGTATTGGTTTAAAAGCCATTGGAGATCATTAGCGGACCATTTAGAGAACGGAGAACCAAAAGACTATGTCCTCTCTATGTCCAGTTTCGTGTGGAACGATGTATAGAGGACTTGGCTCAGCTCGACATGGATGTGGATGTTAACCCAGCTGTGTTTGAGAGTCTTCAAGAGGTTGCCCGCCAACTTGAAATCCTCTCGGAAACAGAAGAGGCGACCCTTGGGCGTCCATCTTACATGTTGCCCCCAAACGTTATTGAAGCACATCTTCGTTGGGGGCACACCGCTGGGCACATCGCGAACGGGTGTGCAAAAGAACAATTATTAAAGAAGCCATTATTAGCGAGTTGCCGTGGGTGTACACTGTACACAGAATGAACAGATGTGACTTGCCACGAATCTCTTGCTTCTGCCTGGCTCCAACAATTGGCGAATCCTGCTTCAGACTGAGGTTAGGACCACCCACCTCATTAGCATACGGACACATAAATAAATAAATAAATAAATGTATGTCGCGTGAATGTAGAAATATATGAAAGATATATAATAACCTGTGTTCTGTTTTATTTTCGACTTTTATTTATTTATACATTGGTGTATTTATTTCCATATGTATTTATGCATTTATTTATTATTTTATTTATTTATGTGTATTTATTTCAAAATTTATTTATTTCTGTATTTATTTCGTCATTTATTTATTCCTGTATTTATTTATTCCTGTATTTATTTATTTATTTATTTACGTATTTATTTATTTATTCCTGTATTTCTTCATACATTTATTTACACATTTATTTATTTATACTTAAGTCATGTTCCGTCCTCCATACCCAGCTGCTCACTGTTTGTAAATAAATAGTATTTTAATTTCAATAATGTATTTTCTATACCCTGCTTCATAAACAATACTGACATCCCTGTGCTCCTCCGAGTCTGGGGGATGTGAGGACAGCGCGAGGACACAGACAGGGAGGCTGCTTTATTTCATAAAGGAAATGGCGGTCAATATTAACAACGTAGGAGCTAAAACGCTTAATAACCTTCATTACGTGTTAAAGAAAGAACATAAGAAAGTTTGACAAAGATTAGGCTGTTAAACGGGCAGCGGGTCCGCTGTGTGTAGAAAGAGAGAGAGAGAGAGAGAGACGCTGAACTGCACCGTGCAGCGATCAGATGATCCGGAGCAGAGAGAGAGAGCTGCGGTCCGCGGGGCTCCGCCTCCTGTCCTCACAACTCTTATTAATCCCGGTACCGGACAATTGTTATTTGTTCCTACTCGGAACCGAATTTTGCTTCCCAACCCTGCCACTGTGCTACACGTCCCGCCCCGCCCCGTCCCGCCTAACAGTACAGAAAGCGGCGAGATGCAGGAATCGACAAGCAGAACCGAAACTAACATTTCTAAACGAACAATGGCGGACACGGACAATTTGCGAATGAGTTCTGCCTTTTGTAAACTGAGTTTATCAATAATTTGTCAATAAATGAGGGCTAAAAACGTCACTTGTCCGCCGGACAAGTCAATTGAAAGATCTACTTGTCCGACATTGTAAATAACACGTCCCGGACGGTGGGACGTGTGCTTTTTCGCACACTGCCATCATGCCCATCATCACCATCATCACCATCATCACCACCATCATGCCCATCATCATCATCATCATCACCATCACCATCACCATCATCATCATGCCCATCATCACCATCATCACCATCATCATCACCACCATCATCCCCACCATCATCATCACCATCATCATCATCACCATCATCACCACCATCATGCCCATCATCACCATCATCACCATCATCACCATCATCATCATCATCACCATCATCCCCATCATCCCCATCATCACCACCATCATGCCCATCATCACCATCATCACCATCATCACCACCATCATGCCCATCATCATCATCACCATCACCATCACCATCATCATCATCATCATCATCATGCCCATCATCACCATCATCACCATCACCATCACCATCATCATCATCATCACCACCATCACCACCATCACCACCATCATCCCCATCATCACCATCATCACCATCATCATCACCATCATCATCATCACCACCATCCTCATCATCATCATCACCACCATCACCATCATCATGTCCCCTCTTCTTCATGTCTCTTCTACATCAACATGTGTCCCCTCTTCTTCATGTCTCTTCTACATCAACATGTGTCCCCTCTTCTTCATGTCTCTTCTTCATCAACATGTGTCCCCTCTTCTTCATGTCTCTTCTACATCAACATGTGTCCCCTCTTCTTCATGTCTCTTCTACATCAACATGTGTCCCCTCTTCTTCATGTCTCTTCTACATCAACATGTGTCCCCTCTTCCTCATGTCTCTTCTACATCAACATGTGTCCCCTCTTCTTCATGTCTCTTCTACATCAACATGTGTCCCCTCTTCTTCATGTCTCTTCTACAACAACATGTGTCCCCTCTTCTTCATGTCTCTTCTACATCAACATGTGTCCCCTCTTCTTCATGTCTCTTCTTCATCAACATGTGTCCCCTCTTCTTCATGTCTCTTCTACATCAACATGTGTCCCCTCTTCCTCATGTCTCTTCTACATCAACATGTGTCCCCTCTTCTTCATGTCTCTTCTTCATCAACATGTGTCCCCTCTGTGTAAAAAGACTCTGAAACAGGAACAAAGACCCCTCTCTTTTTGTCCTGATCCATCTCTATAGAATCCTGTCTGAAAATGAGCTGATCAGATGTTGGTCACTTTGTGATGTCACAGTGTTGTTTTGGGTTGTGTAACAATTAGCCAATCACCAACCAATATAACCAACTGACCAATAGGAGGAAGCGCAGGTTGATGATGTCGGTGAGGAGCAGCAGACTGACGAAGACGATGATGCTGTCATAGATGTTCCAGGATACCTGTAACCAAGGCAACAGAAACACATGTTACCATAGCAACAGCTGTCATCACTGAGCCGCTGACAAACAGGAAGTCTCACCTGAGCCGCTAACAAACAGGAAGTCTCCGACCGGTCTCAACGATGTGTGTCCGTCAGGAAACACGCCGCGTGTGTCCGTCAGGAAACACGCCGCGTGTGTCCGTCAGGAAACACGCCGCGTGTGTCCGTCAGGAAACACGCCGCGTGTGTCCGTCAGGAAACACGCTGTTTACAAACAGTTCCAAACATCCAGTGATAAACTGTGATGTTAACAACCTCATGATAACCTCATGTTTTTAACTTAGGATCGTACCTGTGGTTAGTCTAGAAAAAGGTCAATGTGTGCATTTTATTATAAAGTTGTGTATATTTACAGACTGTTGCAAAAACTAAGAAGCTTATAAACATCAGGTTTAAAACTAAAAGAGCTTTACAAAAACACAATTAAAGATGGTTCGAGTTTTATTTTAGTTATTAATTATTATTTTTTGTCAAAGAGATGCTGATTTGAAACCGTTGATACATACAGTTACGGCATTTCCTGTTTCTGAGGAGAGAGGGGAGTTTGTCCCAAAGCTTGCTGCTGTATTTACTCCCTCCATCTGACAGGAGGAGCCTCGTTGAGCTGAGAGTGAGACTCCACGGAGTTCACTCCGTCACGGAGAGGGAGTGGGTAGGGGTAGGGTGTAGGACGTGGTTTGGGATTGGGCTGAAGTCTCACCTGAGCCGCTGACAAACAGGAAGTCTCACCTGAGCCGCTGACAAACAGGAAGTCTCACCTGAGCCGCTGACAAACAGGAAGCCTCACCTGAGCCGCTGACAAACAGGAAGTCTCACCTGAGCCGCTGACAAACAGGAAGTCTCACCTGAGCCGCTGACTGTCACTACCCGATCTGCCCCCCTGCCCGATCTGTACTGCGCATGTGCGAGATGGTCCGCCATATTGGACAACTCCGTACGGCAACCCAAATAGGACACTTGACACAGTGGCTTTTGGCAAAGCACACAAAGACAACTCAAAGAACCGAGAGAGATGAGTTATTGTTATTACATCGTGACTTCTCTATTATTTAACAACTCTTTTTATTGGGTTCTTTTATTTGGGGTTAAGTACATCGTCAGAATAAGTGAGACATGGATTTAACTTCTGTTAGACAGCTATCATACTGAATAAATATTTACTGTGAATGTATGCAAACATGTATGGCATATAGCTGTCTAACAGAAGTTAAATCCATGTCTCACTTATTCTGACAATGTACTTAACCCCAAATAAAAGAACCCAATAAAAAGAGTTGTTAAATAATAGAGAAGTCACGTTGTAATAACAATAACTCATCTCTCTCGGTTCTTTGTGTGCTTTGCCAAAAGCCACTGTGTCAAGTGTCCTAGTAGAGTTGCCGTATGTAGTTGTCCAATATGGCGGACCATCTCGCACATGCGCAGTACAGATCGGGCAGGGGGGCAGATCGGGTAGGGGGGCAGATCGGGCAGGGGGGCAGATCGGGTAGGGGGGCAGATCGGGTAGGGGGGCAGATCGGGCAGGGGGCCAGATCGGATAGGAGGGCAGATCGGGTAGGGGGGCAGATCGGGTAGGGGGGCAGATCGGGTAGGGGGGCAGATCGGGTAGGAGGGCAGATCGGGTAGGGGGGCAGATCGGGTAGGGGGGCAGATCGGGTAGGAGGGCAGATCGGGTAGGGGGGCAGATCGGGCAGGGGGGCAGATCGGGTAGTGGGGCAGATCGGGCAGGGGGGCAGATCGGGTAGGGGGGCAGATCGGGCAGGAGGGCAGATCGGGCAGGGGGCCAGATCGGGTAGGAGGGCAGATCGGGCAGGGGGGCAGATCGGGCAGGGGGGCAGATCGGGCAGGGGGGCAGATCGGGTAGTGACACTGACAAACAGGAAGTCTCACCTGGAAATATCCGTACGGATCGAAGGCCACGAGTTTCAGGAGCATCTCAACGATAAAGATCGCCGTGAAGACCTGATGGAGCACAGACAGGTGGAGACAGACAGGTGAAGACAGACATGTGGAGCACAGACAGGTGGAGACAGACAGGTGAAGACAGACATGTGGAGCACAGACAGGTGGAGACAGACAGGTGGAGACAGACAGGTGGAGACAGACATGTGGAGCACAGACAGGTGGAGACAGACAGGTGGAGACAGACAGGTGGAGACAGACAGGTGGAGACAGACAGGTGGAGACAGACAGGTGGAGACAGACAGGTGAAGACAGACAGGTGAAGACAGACATGTGGAGCACAGAGAGGTGGAGACAGACAGGTGGAGACAGACAGGTGGAGCACAGACAGGTGGAGACAGACAGGTGGAGACAGACAGGTGGAGACAGACAGGTGGAGACAGACAGGTGAAGACAGACAGGTGAAGACAGACATGTGGAGCACAGAGAGGTGGAGACAGACAGGTGGAGACAGACAGGTGAAGACAGACAGGTGGAGACAGACAGGTGAAGACAGACATGTGGAGCACAGACAGGTGGAGACAGACAGGTGGAGACAGACAGGTGGAGACAGACAGGTGGAGACAGACATGTGGAGCACAGAGAGGTGGAGACAGACAGGTGGAGCACAGACAGGTGAAGACAGACAGGTGGAGACAGACAGGTGGAGACAGACAGGTGGAGACAGACAGGAACAGACATGTGTGAAATGGGCACAGAGAGGTGGAGACAGACAGGTGGAGACAGACCGGTGAAGACAGACAGGTGGAGACCAGAAGTGAAGACAGGACATGTGGAGCACAGACAGGTGGAGACAGACAGGTGGGAGACAGACAGGTGGAGGAGACAGACATGTGGAGCACAGAGAGGTGGAGACAGACAGGTGGAGCACAGACAGGTGAAGACAGACAGGTGGAGACAGACAGGTGGAGACAGACAGGTGGAGACAGACAGGTGGAGACAGACAGGTGAAGACAGACAGGTGGAGACAGACAGGTGGAGCACAGACAGGTGGAGACAGACAGGTGGAGACAGACAGGTGGAGGACAGACAGGTGGAGACAGACAGGGGGAGCACAGACAGGTGGAGACAGACAGGTGGAGACAGACAGGTGGAGACAGACAGGTGGAGCACAGACAGGTGAAGACAGACAGGTGGAGACAGACAGGTGAAGACAGACAGGTGGAGACAGACAGGTGGAGACAGACAGGTGAAGACAGACAGGTGGAGACAGACAGGTGGAGACAGACAGGTGGAGCACAGACAGGTGGAGACAGACAGGTGGAGACAGACAGGTGGAGACAGACAGGTGAAGACAGACAGGTGGAGACAGACAGGTGGAGCACAGACAGGTGGAGACAGACAGGTGGAGACAGACATGTGGAGCACAGAGAGGTGGAGACAGACAGGTGGAGACAGACAGGTGGAGACAGACAGGTGAAGACAGACAGGTGGAGCACAGACAGGTGGAGACAGACAGGTGGAGACAGACAGGTGGAGACAGACAGGTGGAGACAGACATGTGGAGCACAGAGAGGTGGAGACAGACAGGTGGAGACAGACAGGTGGAGACAGACAGGTGGAGCACAGACAGGTGGAGACAGACAGGTGGAGACAGACAGGTGGAGACAGACATGTGGAGCACAGAGAGGTGGAGACAGACAGGTGGAGACAGACAGGTGAAGACAGACAGGTGAAGACAGACAGGTGGAGACAGACAGGTGGAGACAGACAGGTGGAGACAAACAGGTGGAGACAGACATGTGGAGCACAGAGAGGTGGAGACAGACAGGTGGAGCACAGACAGGTGGAGACAGACAGGTGAAGACAGACAGGTGGAGACAGACATGTGGAGACAGACAGGTGGAGACAGACAGGTGAAGACAGACAGGTGGAGCAGGAGATTTGTCCCATCTTTCCTGGGTGCAACCCACAAACTCATCCCACACATGGTATGTAAATGAACAGGCTTTCCGGAAGCGGAAGCATTGTTACAACAAAGAAATAATCTACCAAACACACATTTCCTTACTTTCTGTGTTAAGTGTATATGGTCCCACTCACCAGCTGTACGTCATTCAGCATGGAGCTAAACTGCTCCGTCATGGGGAAATGTTCCAGAGACATGAAGATGGCGTTGATGACGAGGCAGAGCACGACCCCGAGGTCGAACAGCGGGTCCCTCACCAGGGCCTGGAGCCGCTGTTTGAGCCCCCGCCAGCAGCCACAGCAGTTCCACTTCAGGAAGACTTTAGAGGTGACAGAGCAGCAAGCAGGACACGAGCGCTGGACCTCCTCCAACCCTGAAACACAACCAGCTGCAGGAACCTGTTTCTGTGTGGGACCCTGAAGGCAGCATCGCCCTGGTCCAATGGGATGGCTCCATGTGATTTTAGAGTATTGAAGAAAGCTTGTGTGTGTGTGTGTGTGTGTGTGTGTGTGTGTGTGTGTGTGTGTGTGTGTGTGTGTGTGTGTGTGTGTGTACCTTCCATGCTGTCCTTCTTCTTCCCCTCTGGTTCCTGTGAGAGCGCCACCCTGCTGGCAGCCTGTTGAAACAGCACAAGGTGTTATTAAAGCTTTATAAAGTGTGATGGTGTCTGGGAGCTGAACTGATCTCACCTCCTCTTCCTCGCTCCTCTTTATCGCCTCCAGGATCTGACTGAACTCTTCTTCTCTCTGTTTTGATTCGCTGACCGCCGCCCCCTGCTGCTCGCCGGCTACCAAGGCAACCGCCGCCACGATGAGGCTGAGGACAAAGAACCCGGCGGGGAAAACGACGAGCAGGAAGAAAGTGAGGTAGGGTTTACCTGAGGATCGCAACACCTGTGGAGAGAAGGGAGGTTATTACTAACTAGTGACTAACACTAACACCTGTGGACAGACGGGAGGTTATAACTAACTAGTGACTAACACTAACACCTGTGGAGAGATGGTAGGTTATAACTAACTAGTGACTAACACTAACACCTGTGGACAGACGGTAGGTTATAACTAACTAGTGACTAACACTAACACCTGTGGACAGACGGGAGGTTATAACTAACTAGTGACTAACACCTGTGGACAGATGGTAGGTTATAACTAACTAGTGACTAACACTAACACCTGTGGACAGACGGTAGGTTATAACTAACTAGTGACTAACACTAACACCTGTGGACAGACGGGAGGTTATAACTAACTAGTGACTAACACCTGTGGACAGATGGTAGGTTATAACTAACTAGTGACTAACACTAACACCTGTGGACAGACGGTAGGTTATAACTAACTAGTGACTAACACTAACACCTGTGGACAGACGGGAGGTTATAACTAACTAGTGACTAACACCTGTGGACAGACGGGAGGTTATAACTAACTAGTGACTAACACCTGTGGACAGACGGGAGGTTATAACTAACTAGTGACTAACACTAACACCTGTGGACAGACGGTAGGTTATTACTAACTAGTGACTAACACTAACACCTGTGGACAGACGGGAGGTTATTACTAACTAGTGACTAACACTAACACCTGTGGAGAGAAGGGAGGTTATTACTAACTAGTGACTAACACTAACACCTGTGGACAGATGGTAGGTTATTACTAACTAGTGACTAACACTAACACCTGTGGAGAGAAGGGAGGTTATTACTAACTAGTGACTAACACTAACACCTGTGGACAAACGGTAGGTTATAACTAACTAGTGACTAACACTAACACCTGTGGACAGACGGTAGGTTATAACTAACTAGTGACTAACACTAACACCTGTGGACAGACGGTAGGTTATAACTAACTAGTGACTAACACTAACACGTGTGGACAAACGGTAGGTTATAACTAACTAGTGACTAACACTAACACCTGTGGACAAACGGTAGGTTATAACTAACTAGTGACTAACACTAACACCTGTGGACAGATGGTAGGTTATAACTAACTAGTGAATAACACTAACACGTGTGGACAAACGGTAGGTTATTACTAACTAGTGACTAACACTAACACGTGTGGACAAACGGTAGGTTATTACTAACTAGTGACTAACACTAACAACTGTGGACAGACCAGCCGCGGCGTTATGGGTGGGCCCACCACTCTGGCACTGGGCCCACCCATTCATTGATCAAAAATGACTGGGCGTAAATATAGTTTCCAACATTTTTGATCAAAATTAACGATTAAATAATAAAATAAGAGCAAACGTGTGTTTCCCTTTCAAAAAATAATAAAATTAAAAGCATTAAACATTAATTAAAGTAATCAGGCCGAACTCATAGTCAAAGCGCGGGAGCAAACATATCGTAGAACGTCTCGCGGCCGCGCGCAGACGAAGGAGGACAGTGGACTGGACAGACACAAAAAATATACCGCGCACACTAACGATGTCACAACAATCGATGTTCAGTTTTTTTAAAAGAGTAAGAACAGAGTCGCCGCCGCCGGAACCACCACACTCATCATCCTCACAGCAGGTGCCGCCTCAGAGAGACGAGAGTGTGTTTAATGTTGTGCCCCGCTGAGCTCAGTCCCTCTGCGGGACGTAGCATCCGTTGCAGGATAACAGAAAATAGCATCCCAGTGCCGGACCTCTCAGCCATAGATGACCCGGCGGCTACACAGCCAAAGCTCATAAAGTACCCTCAGACACTTCTCGGACAAAAGAAAAGGAGCTCCGCTGCCCACTGGTATGACAAGAACACATTCTTGGAGTATAGCATTAGCAAAGACAGTGTGTTTTGTAAAATGTGCCGGCATTTTAGAGAGAGAGGCGGGGCCGGCGGAGAAGATACATTCAGTCGCGATGGTTACAGGGACTGGAAACACATCGACTATGCTCTCAGTAAACACGAATGTCATTCTAGGCATAGCCTATTTTTATTAGATTATTAACTAAAATCGCGAGAAAACATTTGAACAGGCCCAGCCGAAATTACATTAGCCCACCCACAATTGAAATCATCAGTTATGTGATGCTAATCTTCAGTCATGTGATGCTCATCATCAGTCATTTGATGCTCATCAC